TTTGCCAGAGAAAAAAGGGAGTATGTGGTGTTTCTTTATCTTGGTTAACCGATGAGGAATTCGCCATTACGCCAGCTAAACATGAATGTCGTAGACTTAAAATTATTTCACTCAGCTACTTACTTCATCACGACTATATCTTTGATTTTACAGTCATTCTGCAAAATGTAAACATTGATCTTAAAAGAAAACTCTAAAACTTGTACAAAGAGTATCCAAAAATCATGTTTATTTTACACAAAACAAGTAATTTGTATTATTCCCAGAATCAGTGAGAATAAGGTATTATTCACCACCACAAAAGACGTCATCTTCATAAAACTGTGTCAATAGTCGTTGGTTGTACAGAAAAATTTAAAACAATATTATAAATCAATAGTTAAATAAAAAATGGTCTTTTCAGTCCTCCTGGCTAGACCATTATTTAATTTATATAGACTATTGGAGGAAAACGAGAACAAATAGATAGACGGTTGAGTGAAAAATCAGAAAAAGTCACGAACCTTTGACCCAGGTTAGCTAAAACTGTTATGAGATAGGGCAGTCGCGGTCTTGTATAAGGGCGCAAAAATGCCTTCTGACAATATCAGTATTTAGACTTTAAAAGAAAACTTACAATATCAAGCTTTAAGCTTTTGTTACATGTATCCTAATAATATACGTTTTGCTTATTTATAATATGTTTACTGGAATAAAACTTATATAATGTATTTCAGGATGAACTTTGAACAATTTTTTGTCTGTTACGAAAGCATAATTCTGATGTGTCCAAATTATCTGGACGCTAATCCCCTGATGATGAGTAAGCGCTCCCTACAATCAATGATGTTTGGAATGTGTGAAAACAAAGAAAGTAAGGAGTAGTTTGTTTTTTTTACATAAGCAGTTTATTTTTATTTGAAAATTAAAACTCGCCTTTTTAAGTAGGTGCATAAATGTGGCCCTCTCCGATTTTTTAATCTGATGTTTTCAGGAGAGGGTTACAATGTGCTGCGCACATAAAACAAGTGAAATTTAAATTATTGTTATAAGAAATACTTTTTTGCAGTATACTTACAAGGTTTGGAATGTGCTGAAAAGAAAAGTAATAAATTTCATCTTTACATGCAAAATTGCTTTGGATTACGCCATTTTGGAAATGCAGTAGATGCCCAATCTGCACGAAACTGGACCGGTTTTTGTGGGTAAGAACTTATAATCCTCTTTATTCATTGTTACATATACATGTACACGTATCTTATAATGATTAGTCAAACGATGAGTTAGTACATTAATGAAATGTACTATGCTAGTAACTTGTATGTGCTCCACCTATGCTATCATATTCATCGAAGTGCAACGTGCAAAGGGGTAACAGTGTGTGAAGTAATTCTACAATTATCAGTAATTTGCAAAGAAGACTGAGATATATTTTGAGATAACAATAAATACAATTTCCAATGATAAAAAAACCCGCAATCATTGTTACTAGGCAATAAAACATTTTTCAAAAAAAAATAATGAATAATTAAAAAAAATTAAAAAAGAGGCTCATGGGCCATATTGCTCACTGGAGAAACTATGGCCCTTCTTAATCAGCATATTATTTTCCCTACATATTCTTAGGAAAAACTTAAAGTACTTTTTAGTCCCACCCTACCCCAGGGGGTCATGATTAGAACAAACTTCAATTTACACTACCTGAGGATGCTTCCATATAAATATGACTAATCATGAATATGCTGTTGTTGAGAACAAGACTTTCAAAGATTTTTCCTAAGAATTGCTATGTAAATTTTGATTGCCTATTGTGGCCCCACCCTACTTCCGGGAGTCATGATTTGAACATATTGAATCTACACTACCTGCAAATGCTTCAATCTAAACATGATTAATCATGGCTTTGCTGTTCCTGTGGAAAGGATTTTTAAACACTTCTCCTATATATTCCTAAGTTAAACTTTGATCCCTCATTTCTGCCCCACCCTACATCCAGGTTTCATGATTGTTACAAATTTAAATCTACATTATCTGAGGATGATTCCATATAGATATGAGTCACTCATATCTATATGGAATCAATATCAGCAAAGCCAGCATATCATATGACTAATCGTGGCTTTGCTGATATTGAGAAGATTTTATAAAAGTATTTCCTATATAAACCTATGTAAAACTTTGACCACCTGTTGTGGCCCCCGCCCCTTCTTCGGGGTCATAAAATGAACAAACTTGAATCTACGGTATATAATGAAGAGTTTCATCTTTTCTGCCCCAGTAGTGGTTCTTGAGAATATTTTTAAACTTTTGAAAGATGCCACCAACTTTTCATGAATTTTGATTATCTTCCCTTGAAAGAGGGAATGGCACTTCCTGTGAACAAACTTGAATTCCCTTTAACCAATGATGCTTTGTGGCAAGTTTGGTTGAAATTGACCCAGTGGTTCTGGAGAGTTCGAAGGGGTCTAAAATGTGAAAAATTTAAAGACACCAGACGACAGACAGATGACAGACATTCTTCGATCAGAAAAGCTCACTTAAGCCTTCGGCTCAGGTGAGCTAAAAAAAAAAGCTTTGAATTTACATTAAAAAAAGATATCACTCTGCTTTTACGTGATATATATATATATATATATATATATATATATATATATATATATATATATATATATATATATATATATATATATATATATAATATAATTATATATAAATAGATTATGCATTATGCAGATCGCAGAAATGTAGATAAAATGCTGAATCAGCATTTACCAGTTAAGAAGAATAATTATATCAACAGTAATTCACTCGTAACCAAGTTGAGACCACTCAGCACACCTCGGCCGAGACTTAACTCATCTAACCTTGGCTGTATCATATAAACCACCATTGAACCGGGGCTCCTTAAGTTAATAGACAGTATGGCTCTGTATTACATGTGCAGGCATGTAGCAACAGGCGGGGAGGGGGCGGACTTCCGCCACTCTTTCCTACAACTTTTTACTATTGGAAAGGAAATGTTCATTGAAAAGCCGGTTGTCACCCCCTCCACTTTTTGTTTCAATATAGTCATATAAGGGTTTTGTAGCAGCGTGTGAATAAAATTTGGTACTGATAGAAGTTGGAACCTAACCCCCCCTCCCTCCCCCCGCCCCCCAACCTCACGAAATTAAATAGGATTTTCGAGATTGGTCAGTTTCTTTTCTTTTTCTCTCTCTCTCTTTGGCTTGTTTTATTTTTTCGGGTAAGATGAAATATTTTGTCTGACTGCCCCCCCCCCCCCGCCTTTTTTCAAAAACGATGCTGCGTCCCTGGCTAAATTCTAAAACTTGAGAATTTTAAAACTATGTGCTGAATTCAATCCGTCAACAAACATGTGATTATGTAAAGATACTAAAAGTGTTATTATCCTCTCGCAACGAAGTTGGAGGGGATATAGTAACGCAATTGTGTAGGTGTGTTTGTTAGTCCTGTGCGAAGCGGAAGTGATGTAATTTGCACAGGGATCAAAGGTTGATAAATGTGTATTTTTGTATTTTTAATTTAGTCATCTATTGTCTGATCATCTCTTATTCCAATCACATTTATTTACAAATAAAACTGAATTAGGGGATAATAAAATATAACATACAGTATTTTGCTTTTCCAAGTGTAAATTATAATTGAGTTGTGTGGAATCGGATTCGAAATTTTTGCTAAACATCACACTTAGCTAAATAGCTTGAATTACCTACGTATAGTGAAGTCGTCCGTTACATGTACATGTTTACGTATCCACGATAACTGTCGGTATTTTTTTTAAGCATGTAAACATTTATTTCTAAACAGACCTTATCCAATCACTATATACACTATACACTATATACACTAAATAAACATACATGTAGCTTGCCTGTACGTACAGTGAAGTCGCGAATTACGGTTTGTCTCAGGTCCTATTCATTCCTATGTATTTTATGCCATATTATTTAAACTGAAGCACGGAAAAATTAATAAACACACTGGTCAAGAATTGATATTTCTGTCTGTAATCAGAAACATAATTTCGGAAATCAACATTAACGTTTTTGTTCACTGCAGCAAGGCAAAAATTGTAGTTAAACAATAATGGCTACAAAGTATGACACTTGCATTCAGTTGTAAATCGGAAATCATATATAATGATCACTGCTCAAATAAATTTACACTAATTAATAAATCAAACTGTAGCAGCGGTCCACTATGGTGCCCCGATAGGGCCATTTGCAAAAGTGTAATAGCGCGTTAGTAACAATGCGCTAGCGTGATATAACAGCATTTTTGTTCACTGCAGCAAGGCGAAATTTGTAGTTAAACAATAAAAGCTGCAAAGTATGGAACTTGCATTCAGTTATAACTCGTTGTTCACAACGTGCAGGCTCGTTATCACTAACGCATATTTGCACTTTTGCAAGTAACAACACGCTAGCGCAAAGTGACAACGCGTTGTTTACAACTCGCCGTCGCGCTATTACACAACACGCCGTCACGCTAATTATGAACTAATTAGTTCATACACAATGAAACATTTTTACCCTTCAATAAGATCATCTAAGGAAAATATTTGCAAATATAAATATAGCACATTAATTGTTTAATTTGTTTAGGGAACCAGGGTACAACAACAATGACCTCGAAACCCTTATGAATATAAATTAGTTATTTTACAGGAGAATTAAATTTTGAAAATCATTATAATTGATGTTTATTTGTGTAGAAAATCTTCGAGTTTGTTTTTGTTGTTACATTCAGCGTTTTGTATTTTTGTATTGTCCCAAGAGCGGTTCGGAGTTTTCCACTCAAATTTGATTTGGCGGTGTTCAGTCAAAGTCCTGTTTGAAGAGGCTAACAGTAGACGAAGTAGACGCCGGCTAAGAATAAAATTCTTCTCGCTTGCGCGGTTTTCTTTTCTTGAAAACACTTCATGATCCGATATTCGTTCCCTGTGCCGTGACAAACCTAAGGCGTGTAACAAAGGCAGTGACTGTTCGTTTGCCAAGCGCCTGGCATCCTAAGTGAGTCAAGAGACTTTTTGATATGGGTTTTTGCATTGGAGGTGTTTGCTCTGCTCCCGATTTGTATTGTTTTAATGGAATTTGAACTTGAATACTGTTCGTTATATCCATATTTCACTTTAAAATGTAGGTCATGAAAGGCGAGGAAGGTAAAGAATCCGCACTGCTCAATTGCCCTGAGTACCGAGTATGTATAAATTGGAAGCCCTTCACCAGTATTTGGTTACATATATGAATGGCAAGGAACATGAAACAGTAAACAATCAATTTGTTGAAAATTATCTAAATGACAAGTAGTCCCCGTGTAGACTTTCTTACGTGAACAAATTTTTCTTATCAAATTTGTTTGATAAGATAGGGCCATCTGTGTGTGTTTGTCTTCTCCCGACTGACTGACTAAAAATGGCTTGGTTTTAAACTTTTTTATCCCCCAGTAAACGATATTTTCTCTACTCCTGAATTTTCTCATCCCGTCAACAAGTATGTTGAATTTTTTTAGAAAAAAAATTCCCACCTATCTACCGACCCAATCTTTTGAACTTCAGTCAGGAGAGGATAAATAAACAATATTTTAAAGACGGCCTAATTAAATTAAGGTCTTTCGTCTTCACGGAAGACCTTATGAAGATTCTACTGTTTCTTATTATTAAGGTCTTTCGTCTTCACGGAAGACGTGGTGATTCTACTGTTTCTTCTTTTTTTTTTACTTCTGAATTTTGTGCATTTCTCAAAGGCTATTGGACGGATTTACATGGAATTTTCAGTAATTATGTTTTTAATACATATTTGATTTATCTGAGAGAAAATTTGGTTATTCACTTCCGGTGCCGAGTGACGGACCATTTTCTGAACTCAAAATGACAATTTTGTCCGCGGATAATCCCGAGAGCGGAAAGAGATATCAATGTTAAACTTTCAGGGATTATAGATCGTGATAGATACTAGCCATGTCTCTACTTTTTGTATCGTCGTTGGCACTTCCGGTCGCTAAAGGAAATGAATTTTTATTTTTGCTTTTTATTAATCTATGACATAAATAGGGTTGATAGAGAGTCTCATTAGAATGCGAAATATATAATTTGTTTCAAAACTTCTCAAGCTATTTTCTAGATATTCATCATTTTTCACTCTGAAGCGGTGATTCCGATGGCGTAATGATAAGCGTATTTGAT